TCCCCCCCCCCCCCCCCTCGCCAGCCGGAGCCCCGATCCGGCGAGGATGGTTCAAAGACAAACGGAAGAAATGGCGAAGGCACGCTGAGAACAAAAAGGGAAACAAGGATGAGAGAAAAAAAAAAATGCAAGTTTCATGATTCATGCAAGCACGCAAAATGGGGTACACTTGACCGTTCCCAGGTCGCCTCCTCCTTCGAGTAACCCATCCACTTGACGAGGTACTCGATACGAGGACGGCCCGCACGGCCCTTGGGCCGCCGCAAGGCCCCGACCAGGAGAATCCCGTACCAAGCACAAGCAATCAGTCACCACACACACACAAAGCCAGACACGTCAAGCCGCCCGCCGATATGCCGATATCGATACGGAGACCGCTGCCAAAGAGGACAGAAAAAAAAACTAAAAAGCCAAAGAGAGAGAAAAGCTTTGAAAGGAAGGAAAATGTCGACACACAACATTTTCTTTTCTTTTTTTGTTCTGAAGCGTCAAAAACGTCATGCAAGCAAGCAAATTCCGATCTGCTGTCAAAGCGCCACAAAAACTGGGGCTTGTACGCACACATGCAATGCCTCTTGGCCAGCCGTGGCCGTCGGTCAACATTCCAAGCCCGTGGGCGAGCCGCTTGAACGCTGCCGGCCAGATCAAACATCTCCCCAGCCAGATGCGAGGGACGACGAGCGAGCCAACTTGATTTCTGGGGCGATATTTCATGTCCAAAGGAAACAAGCAGTGAGCCATTGACGTTTCTTGGCACTACAAACGACTATCAACGGGGTTCTTGTGTCTATGTCCCCTCTGTAGTGTTGGAAGCTCGGGTGGAGGCTCAGGTTTTGGCAGAGCGCCCAATCCAATCATTTCCACTCGACCAGAAGCAACCAAAGGAGGATTACATCAAATTTTATTTTTGTTATCGGCATCCGGACGGCTGCTGCTTGAACCAGCAATTGAGCCACGTGATCGCACTCATCACAGTTGGGCATTCCAGAGCAGAAGGGGGCAAGCGCGCCTAGTATTCACGATGCTGATGCCCCCTGTGCTTCTTCTTGTTTTTCGAAGTTTGAGCTTTGCTCCGTTTCTCCTCGGGCGAGCCGGAACAAGTTTGATGTGACTCCACGTCCTCGTGATAGCGCTGACTGTCTTGCCTTGCGGTGGCTTTGATCACTGAGCCCTTCGAACACTTTCAATGAAGGGGATGAGGATGTGTAGGAGCGACCAGACACGCATCTACTGCATTCACTTGCCAAAGTACCCAAGTTCAACCGGGACCGATCGCTCGCAAAACAAAAGCTCCCGCTCAACGCCCTCGGCAGCAGCTCGCCCAGCGCCACAGTCGCCATTACCGAGACACTGCTGTTTTCATTTGATGTCATGGTGCATGGAGACGAACGGTGTTTTGCCCTTCTCAGGTGGTCATGGGACTGGCCTGCTTCAGACGCTCGGCAAAGCCCGCCCTGCCCGTTGACTTTTTTCTGTTTGCACAGCGATCGACAAGGCAAGCACAAGCTTCAAGCATTTCAATTCGTAGGTGCAGCTTCAGCGGCGGCCGTTAGAGCGGCCACGCGGTCACCAAGGGTTTGTAGATCTTGAATGTTAAACAATTGAGGATCCACGCGCCAGCCGACGCTACAGAAGACAGCAGCAGCGCACCGCCAGCGTCTGACCTGCTCCGCATGAATCAAGCCTTGGACTGGCGCCACGTTGAAAACTTCAATGAGAACAAGGCAATGCGAACAATGACATGGGGATCAGGTTCGCACCTTTGGAATTCGAAGTTTGGTAGGAGCAAAGGGCTTGTGAAGCGCCCAGAAGCTCTGCAACCAGCTGCAACGTCAAACAGATTCATCGGTAAGCAAGCTTGCCTCTGCAATTAGTACCGAAAATAAACAAAGGCCCACCTCCAGCTTGATGGGATTCCTGCGAAGGAGCAGATTCAAGGGCCATGCACCGCTCTGCCACAGCAAGTCATCAAATATCAGTCGCAGGTGCAGCTAAACAGTGGAAAGTACAGCATCGCGGTGAACAGCTTACACGATCTCTCACATCCGGGTCAGCACCGTGCCGCAAGAGTTGGCGGATGCCCTTGCGGCTGGCAGAGAGGGAAGCGCAAGCTAGATGAAGTGGCGTTCGGCCGCGCTAATTATGATCGATATTTGAAAACATGAGGCATGTTTTCGTTTTTTGTTTGAAAGGGGGCGTGCGTGGGTGGGAGTGAGCGTCAAATGTGCCGGGGTAAAGCTGAAGAAACGCCCACTGAAAGCTGCTTGAGCGCATAAGGGAGGCAGAGGTGCGATGGCAAGGGACGGTGTAGTGCTTGGTTTGAAATCACAACATCAAGAAAAGGAGAGAGCGAGAACGGCGGGCGGAAGAGCCCAGCGGAACAAAGCGGGGGCATGGAGCACCCACAAAGCGCGGACGCAAATTGGGGGAAGAAGAGGGATAGCGGGAAAGCAGAAAAGGGGCCAGAGGCAGAACGGACGTGCACGGGTGGGCAGGTGTAGCCGAGCAAGGAACGGGGCAAAAGCGACGGGCAGCGGGAGCAGGAGCAGCAGCCAGAGGGGGGCAAAGGGGGAAGAGGGAGGCACTGTACTGACGTTGGCCTTGGCTTTAGCATTAGCGCCGTGCTCCAGCAGCATCTCCATCACCTTGACATGACCGTTTTGGCAGGCCATGTGCAGTGGCGTTTGGCGATTCTGTGGGATGATGCATCAGCATGATGTACAGGTACAGCAGCATTGTCATGTGGTACAGGTGTAATATCATAGGGGGTTAATGGGAGGAAGAGGGAGGTACTGTACTGACGCCGTCCTTAGCTTCAGCATCAACGCCGTGCTTCAACAGCATCTCCACCACCTTGACATGACCGCGACCACAGGCAGTGTGCAGTACTGTATCGTTACGCTGTGGGATGATGCATCGGCATGATGTACAGGTACAGCAGCATCATCATGTGGTCCAGGTGTACCATCATAGGGGGCTCAAGGGGGTAAGGGGAGGTACTGTACTGACTTTGGTCTTGGCTTCAGCATCAGCACCTTGCTTCAACAGCATCTCCACCACCTTGACATGACCGTTATTGCAGGCAAAGTGCAGTGGTGTAGAGCCACCCTGTGGGATGATGCATCAGCATGACGTACATCATCATCATCATCATCGTGTATACCATCAGAGGGGAATCAAAGGGGGGAAAAGGGGTACCGTACTGACCCTTTCCTTGGCTTCAGTATCAGCACCATGCTCCAACAGCATCTCCACCACCTTGTCATTAATGCAGGCAAAGTGCAGGGGTGTCCAGCCATTCTGTAGGATGATGCATCAGCATGACGTACAGGCACAGCATCACCATCATCATCATGGGGTCCAGGTCCACCATCAAGGGGGGGGGGGGTCAAGGAGGGAAGAGGGTGGTACTACACTGACCTCGTCCTTGGCTTGAGCATCAGCACCGTGCTTCAAGAGCATCTCCACCACCTTGACAAGACCGTTATCGCAGGCACAGTGCAGTGGTGTTTGGTCACGCTGTGGGGGATGATGCAAACATAAGTGTTATACCATAACGTCACCCCATTCAGACATATTCTCAGCAGCCAATATCACACAACAACATACCAAACAGCTTACGTACCACACCTTTGTATTGGGCAGCACGTTGTATACGTGCTTGGTCCCAACTGGTCACCAGCTGCAGCGCCTCTTGTGGATCGAATGACCGACACGCATCCCACAGCTGGTCTCCATCATCACTCATAGCAACGGTGTCTCTCTATTCTCCATTCGCTTCAAATCCGCTTTCTTGCTTTTCTATCCAAAATCAATCTCATGAGCCCCCTCCAAATACAACTCGTCTGACAACCCAAAAATCGGGCTGGGCGGATCCAAGACGGCAGCCGGTCAGCGGATCTTGCTCTTCCCCCCCTGAAAGTGCCGAGCGCCTCACCTCTGGCCAACAGTTCTGGGTGAAAGTTGCAAGTACAGGTCTACTCGGTGGCCCAAGCGCACGTTGCCGACTGCGAGATCAGTGGCCTCACTCCAAAAAAAAAAAAAAAAGGGTGGTGGCAGTGCTTTTTCAATCAAACGATCTGGCATCGCCACAAGGCCCCGACCAGAAGAGTCCCGTACAAAGGGCAAGCGATCAAGCACAATCAGCCACGACAGACAGGCAAGCCACGTCGATCAGGTCGCCTTTGTCGATGTTGAAGAAGGGAAAAAGAGGCAAGAAGGCACAAGTCAAGAAGGCAAAATGCAAAGTGCAAACATATGTTTACGCCTTCTTCTTCAAACGAGTCATGACAGCAAGACTCCAAAGGACTCCAAAACGTACAACGCGGACTGCCCCCATGGCAGCTGGAACGCATTCCAAGACCCGTTATGAGCAGATTTCAAAGAGCCACAAAGCTTGGGGTTTTATGTGAATGCGTACTGCCACTTTGCCAGCCATGGCGTTGGCTACCCGACACCCCGGATGTGAGCGATCATTCCTGACGGCGAGTGCCAGCTCAAGTTCATGGCAACTCGCAACCAAAGGAATCAAGCAGTAGAACATGAACGTTTCTAGGCATTGTAAATGACTGTCAGGGGGTTCAAGCTCATGAACTCTTATGTCGTGTTGGAAAGCGCAAGCGGTGGGGCCCAGATCCCCACAGAGCGCCCAAATCAATTCATCACTGCCAGCAGTAAAAAAAGAGAAAAGAAAAAAGGAGCAAAGGGGTTCTCCACAGCGCCTTGCTATAATGCTTGTCAAGAAGATACTCCTGCCAACCCTCAACACTGCCCCCTCTTGATGTTCTAATCCCCATGTCTGACTTACACCAATGGCTTGATGCAGAGCACGATGCGATCAACTTTCTCTAGCCAGCATCAGCAATTCAATTCTAGCAGCAGACATGGCAATGCCATCCGCCAAGACAAGGACACACATGCACGAGCCAGCTCGTCGTTCAACACGGCACGACATGTATTCAGGATCTATTCAACACAAGTCCTCTCTCTATGCACAAAGTCAGGTAACATTGGCGATTCGCCAATGTTTTGGGTAGTTTTCGTTTTGTTGCCCCCAGTGCAAGTATACCAAGCGATGCCTTTTGCATGCGTCGCCATGATACCTTACGCTTGATCAAATTGGGCTTTCAGGGATTATACAGACGGCATTTGAATGCCATCGGCCTCAGCGGTGGCGTCCAAATCCATCACAATGTCCTCACTCGCTTCCTCGGCAGATGGCGCCGGGGCCTCGTCGCCCGGAGCCGTAAACCAGGTTGAAATGACGCTTTCCTTTGCTTGCGGTGCAGGGACGATGGGTGCGGGATCAAAGTAGCCAGCCTGCTGAGGCTCGGCACCACTGCTTGATTCGTCTGCATCCTCACCAACTTGGAGGTAATTGCCATCCTCGTCAAAGATCTGAAAGTCCACGTCCTCGTCCCAGGCGGCATCGGCGGCAGAAACTTGGCCGTACAGGCCAATGGAAGGATTGGGCTCCTCCTGTGCACCTCCAAAATACAAGGGATTGAACAAGGTGCGATTGTCCTCAAGCATGGCTTGACTTTGTTTGTCCGCAGCCACGCGTCGAGCATTGTCCTTGCGGCGGCGATACCAACACACTGCCACAAGACAACAGATCAAGACGGCCAAGGGTATGGCAATTGCCAGAGCAACGATCAACGCATCGCCACTGGCCGAGCCGTTCTGGCTCGCTGCTTCCGTGTTCTCCCGTTCGCGCGCCACCGAAAATAGCGTCTCCATGTCAAACTCGACGCCCCCCTCTCGGTTTTCGCCGCCTGTATTGGCAGGGTAGATGCCGACAAGACGGACGTCGCCTTGCATGTCGAGAGTGTAGCTCTCAGTCGAGTTGCTCAACTCGGCAACCAAAGTACCATTCTCCTGGCCGTCGCGACGACGCCGCGCCGAGTTGGTCCGAAACACGTACACGTTTTGGGATTCGACGTCACCGGAGCTAACCCCCAGTGACCACGTCAAGCGACAATTAGTCGCCAGCGCTCCAGTGACCCGCTCACAGGATACTTGACCGCCCTCCAAAGTCGTTGAAGGCACTTGGAAACGGCAGCTTCCATCAACCGCGCGCTCTTGCAGATATGGACAAGGCTCGGTGGCCACACACAACTCAGCAGCATGATCCAGCTGATACACAGAGTCGCAAGCCATGGGTACGCAGGCTGCGCTTCCAGGGGAACTGAGGCTGCGGTCGGTCATGTTGGCCGGACACACAGTAGGAACCGCGGCCGTGGGCGTAGAGTCAACAAAATGACCACACACGCGCAACGTGGGTAACCAGGACAAGGTGCCCGGACAGAGCGAGCTGTCCTCTTCGGCAGCACGAGTTTCAAATTCGGACAGCAGGCTCGTGCACAAGGCGCTTGTCGGCGTCAGTGCACATGCCCCGGGCAGGGTGACACAGCCCAAGTCGCTGTCTTTGAAGACAGTGAGATTACTCTCGGGGCACGTGGCCACCGTCCCATCAAATGTGAACGTGAGATCCAGGCTGGCGCCTGACGTGGTAAAGCGCCACAACGGTCCAGCCTGATTGCCCTCGACGCGAACGCTGATGACTGCGTGGGTACTGGTGAGGGTCACCGCGAAAACACGGTAGGAGAGCGCGGCTCCGGCAGGATTGGATACAATCACGTAGGCCGGAACATCATCAAGCGCGGCATTCACCGCCTCGAGGGCCCGAACTACCTCCAGCCCAGAAGCGTCAATCAGGGCGACGCCCAGTTCAGAAGTCTCTTCGATGCGCGCCGCGTTTGCGCGCACCACTCCATCATCGAATAAAAAGGAAGTGGCTTCATCAAAGGACCAGGTGGCTGTCCAGGTGTCCAGTAAACGCACGGTAGTGCCACTGCGGTACACGAGGCTATCGTCGTCCGCCAGTGGGATGAACCACAGGTGGGTGAGGTCAGGAGCGTAGGCCAAGCGTGCACCCAATTCAAAGTAGGGACCCAACGTGAAAGTGGCCAGGCGCACGAAGGGCCGGGCTGCCGTGCCAATGTAGACGGCGCCACGCGTCTGTCCATCCGGATTGACGAGTTGCAGAGAAAAGCCGGCCAAAACTGAGAACATGGCTCCACTAGCATCGCGCTCCATCTGCACGTCAAAGATCACGGGAACAGCCTGACAGACACCGGAGACGTTGACAGTAAAGCCAGGGCAAGGGAGGGCTTCAGTACACGTTTCGGTTGCCTCGCACGTGCCAGTTTCGATGGACGACAAGCAGGTGCCCTCACTGGTCAGCAAGGTGCCGACAGGACAGCGCTGCTCCCCAGCATCGTCGGCTTGCGAGCCCGTGTCAGTTGCGTTGTTGCCGGTCGAGGCATCGTTGGTTTCGTCGATGCTCAGACTGACTGTCGTCCCAACAGGAAAGAAGTCCACCGAAGATGAAACGTTCTGAAGTGGTCGAAGCGCCACCAAGTAGTTGATCAGGCCATTCTCAGCCGCGGGCGTGCCCGCCGCAACCGTGCTGAGGTTGACAAGACGGAAGGTCCAGTAGCGTAAAGTCGATTCCAAGACCAAGCGTGGCAACGGCGCGTCACCGGCCAACTGCGCCTCTAGAATCCGAGCTGGGAGATAATCCGTCAGGAAGGGTACCGAAATGGTGCTTGGCACACTGATGTTCAGGACGTGGGCCGTGTATCCCATGGTCACAGACGAGGCCCGCCATTGAGCCAAGTCCATTGGGTCCACCGTTGCCTGGCTGAGTGCATTGCCAATGTAGATGCCGGTGACGGCTGCCTCCTGTGGGCTAGCAGGCACCTGCACGCCTACATCACCGCCGCCACTACCACCACTACCGTTGCCTTCACCACCAGAGCCCGTGGAGCCCTGACCAGAACCCCCAATGGAGCCGGGCACTCCGTTGACGGTACTTGCGGGGGCATATACCTGCACGGCCCAAGGTCCCGGAGTCACGACTTCTGGTCCGTCCACAATGGCGCCAAGCTCAAAGACCAGCCATGTCGCGGCGGCTTGACGGGCTGTCGTCGTGTCGCTTGCCACACCCGCCAACTGGGCCGTAACAGTGACATTTGTTGCACGGTTGGTGATGGTCACGAGTGGCGGATGGCGACCCGTCAAGTAGAGCTGAATAATTTCCACCAGAGCGTCGAGCCTCGAGCTTGAGTTGGTTCGCAGTACCACTGCTGACAGATTAGCGAGCGCCCACGAGTCAATCCACAAAGTCTCAGAGGCGTTTCCCTCGTTGGCCGCTGTCATGTTGTGAAGGACTTCGACACCATCGCCATGCACGTCGTCGCTGCGCTGCACGACGCTCCCCGTCAGCACCTGACCCAAAGGATCACCCAACAGACTCGTGATGTCGCCGGTGTTGCTGACCAGGCCCACACCACGCAAGTTGAGAACGACAACCACCCGGCGCGTGCCCAGTGGAAGCACCAAACTCGATCCGCGAATAATGTGACGATGCAAGAAGAGGCGAGCCACATCCCACGCTGGTGGCACACTTTGAGTTGTCGTGGGCCCGCCCACCAAGGAAGAGTAAAACGCAAGCTCAAGTGTTGCACCGAGCGTTGAGCGGTGCTGCTGCGCTGATACCAATGCCACGAGACCTTCAATCAGTACTGAAGCCTGATAGACCTTGACGTCGCAGGCCATGAAGGCGTCACACGCATAGACCTCAAAAGCGCCGTCTTCAGCAGCCAAGCTGGCAGCCAACGGATTGTCGCTACCCCACGTCACAAGCATGTCCGTGGTATTACCGCGCAGCGTGGTACTACTTGTGCTGACGGCCCGAATGGCCACAAGCGGTGGACGGCAAACACCGGCGCTATCAATTCCCCACAGGCCCTCGCACAGTCGCTGCTTCACGCACACCCCGTTGACCTGTACACCTTGCCCTGCACAGGCATCAACCGAGTCCATGAGGTGCTGCAAGGCTCGGGCCAAGCTGCTGCGAGCCCCGGTCAGTGCTTGCCAGACACCAGGCACGAGCGTCGTGAACTGCTGCATCGAGGCGACCAGCGCCCTCAACGATGCCGTCGAGAAGGTGGCGGTGCTGTTGGCAGTCGGTGTCCAAGCGGCCGCACCGGCCAATGATACACGATACTCCGCAAATTGAAGCGAGTTCAGACGACCCGTGTGCACAAATTCCGAGGCGGTACCGTCGATAGGAGCCACAGCGCGCAGAGCAGGAAGCCCAGGAGCCCAAGGCGTGGGCGAGACCGCGCAGCCACCAAATGTGGGCGTTTCACAGCCTGCCGGCCCTGACTGGCCAGAGCTGGCCGAATGAAAGGAGAACCGCACAGTTCCACTGATGGCCAAGAAGCGAGTCAGATCACCCACAAACTCCGAGGCACGTTGGACGTGTAACACCAAAACGTTGCCCTCTGCAGAGGACACGACGGCTGTAATCATGAACACAAAATGTTGCAGCGTCGTGGGATGATGAAGGTACAGGCGGCCCAAAGTTGAGGAAGCGTTGTGGCTCGGCTGCATCGCACTGGCAGCTGCGTCCAGCAGCCGCGTACTTTGATTGTGTCCGTCCATGTCGAGTACCGAAAGGTAAATGATCGAGAGATTGGCCAGCAGCGTGCTATCGCAAGCCCATGACCCAGGACGCATCGATGGGGGCGTCCATGACGCATCGTTGTCGGGCGGCAAAGCCGTACCGACCCAAGTGGCCACTGCCTGCACGGGGCCGGCGGCTCTCGCCGCTTCCTGTAAGGTTGTAGGAAGGCGAGCACGGCGAGCACGGCTCCAAGCCTCGATGCCCTGACCATTGACTGGGACCACAACCAGGTACGGCAGCAGATCAATCTGCCAGTCAGTGAGCTGGACGGACACGGTAATCAGTGTCGTGTTGATCAGCTGACCGGGCGACATGGAAACCATGGGTCCATGGGCTCGAGAAGTGTTGGTCAGAAGCTGGCCGGCCACATCCAGTGTGAGGGCCAGCTGGGGCCCTACAGCCCCCGCGTTTACTTCTCCTGCTTGCAGGTATAGATGGTAGAAGCGCACACCAGCATCGAGTGCAACGCGAGGCGCGACAACTGTAAAAGACACAGACGCCCTGGCTTCAGAGGCCACGGTCACTGTTGTGTGGCTCACGTCAAGGTCCAGGGCACCAATACCAGGTGCAGCGTCCAAACCAGGCACTGATCCGGCCGAGAAGACCGGCACTGCCGTCAGAAGGCAACCCAAACCGCCATCGGCTCGGGCAATTGGCCGCCAGCCCACAGCACAGCTAGTCTGCTCACTCGCGCCGACGTGGGCGGGAGCATCAACACAGCCACCGTGATGAGCAGACCATTGCGCACCGGTACAACCGCAGGCACCATCAACGCTAAAATCGACCTGCCAGCTGCGTTCGCGAGTCCAACCGAGCGCGCTCGGCGACAATGAGCCCAAGGTAGAGTCGGCCAGGCGAACGGCAAGCTCAAACTGCGAGGGCGTATCGCTGTTGATGCTCACGGCCAGCACGCGCAATTGCACAACAGCACCATGACCCTGCAGCGACACCAGGGGAAAGCGAGGCCGCCATGTGCTAGCCAAGGTTGCGAGCTCCTGCTCAACAACAACTTGCACGGGACCAGCCAGGGCAGTGAGGGGTCCGAGCGCCTCAACATGAGCAGATCCAGCCAACATTTCATATGCCGCACTTGACAACTCAGCAAGAGTCAAATCGTATGCCGAGCCCAGCATGTCAAACAGAGCGGCGTGTAACGCCACCAAATCGCGGCCTTCAAGTTCGGCCCATACTTGTGCCACAGCCAGACGCAGCTCGGCCACCAGCGGGGCAAGCTCATCGTGCCAACCCTGCAGTGAGCGCAGGGCAGCCAGATTAGACGACCGGTCGTTGGCAAAGGTTGGCACCAGTTGGCCATGGTCTGGAGCAGCCAAAGTGAATGGCACGACGGAGACGAGCACGCTGGGTTGACGGTCTCGGACGGGCCAGACGAGCAGATTTGCCTCTACAGCCACAGCCCCCGTATAAGGCAGGACACAGATGGCCACGGCGCCCGATGGGATGGCGGCTGCGACTGAAACAAGAATGTTGACGTCTTCAAGTTGATCGGCCGGCACAGTTTGAATGGGCACCAATAGGCTAGCCCAGGTGGCAGCGGACGCGCCACTCTCAGCGAGGGCCAAGACGTCGGCTGTAGCCCAGCCCAAGACCAGGGCAGTCATGTTGCGCGCGTCGCCCCGGCGCTCAATGGTTAGTGTGGAGTTGAAATGGCCAGCAAGCTCATCGTGGTCGAGGGTGCCCGAGTTCGGGCGGGCGCTCAGCGAAAACGCAGGCTGACCGACCAACGCAGGCACGCAGCGTCGGGTTGAAGGGTCGCGGCGATAAAAGCCCGGACAGCGGGTTGCTGCATAGCAATCATTGCCAACACGCAGCGCTCCCGATGCACAGGCAACACCCACGGCAACAGCTGTCCGGCAGCCAAATGGAGTCAAGGTAGCGCCCTCAGGACAGCCCAAATTGGATGCCCAACCAAAAGACAGGTGCACAGGCATTCCAGGGAGGAAAATGAGAGAGAAAAGGTCATCATAGGCCACGAGTGATGTCACATTCAGAACGCAGGATTCCAGCCCGCATGAGATGCTCTCCAGGTTGTACAAAAGCGCCTCGCCGCGCTCGTTGCTGAGCCGCAAGGTACTGTTGTCCAGCACGAGCAGCCGGGCCAAGTGAACAAGTGGATCTGCAGGATCCCCCAGTCCAACCGTGAGCGTGCTCACATTGGCGGCCGTGGCAGCATCCGCGAGTAAAGCACCCGGCTGAAAAGGTCCGTGAGCATTGGCTGGGGCCAATGCAGGATCCCAAAATACTCGAAATTCACCGTGTGCCGTGGGATTCACCTGGTCAACCGCAACCTCTTCGACACCCGCCGACAGATTTGAGGGAACAAGAACGAGCTGCCCATCATACGACTCCAAAAGCAAAACCACATGCAAGCCCAGAGCGACACGCATCGAAGGTAGCGACAGGTTTGTGAGACCACCCGTGTATGGCAGCCGCACAGAGACCGTGGTGTTGGCCAGATATACTTGCATGGCGGCTGCCTCGCTGGAGCTTTGGACCAGGATAATCCAGGCGACATTGGTTGCCTGGACCGCAACGGCCACATCAATCCCGCACCAGCCGGGCCGAGCGTCACGGTCGGGCCCCAAAGTCAACTGAGCTCGAGCAACGGCTGGCTCCGCCAGCTGGCACACGCCAGCCTCCGAAGTGAGAGTTCCCGCAGGGCATGGCAGGTCGGTCAAGAGGCCTAGATTGGGCTGATCAAGCGTAACCGGAGGCGGGGCCAAAACACACTGCAGGCTGCCCTCGCCCTGAACGACGGTCATGAAGCCGGCAGCCGCACAGCTGGTACGGACGGCCCCCTGGGCTGGCAGCTGCACCACAATGACTGCGCTGTCCGCCAGGACGACATCCGAGGACATGTCCAGATTCTCGTCGGCGAGGAGCACGGGCTGAAACAAGGTATCGCTCCCGTTGGAGATGACCCGCCCGACCACTTGCTGCCAGGCGAACGAGGCATTGGCCCTGGGTCGAGTGAGGGAACGATTAAAGCCTAGAACCACCAAGCCCTGATGCTCGGCACGCAGCGCGTGGCAAGGCACAGCGCTACAGTTGATGGGCCAGCTGATGGCAGGCGACAGCACGCGTGTATCTGGGAACAGGTGGCGCAGGGAACTGCTCTCGGCGCTGCTGTCAAGCAAGACATCGTCCAGGCGCATGAAGAGGGCAAATTCAGGGAAGATGCGGCTCCAGGTGGCAGGAACGGCCACGAGACCCGATATACCCGTTGTATTGATGGCCACGTCAGGAAAGAGAGCAACCGCACGACCTTCGGCATTGAGATGAGTGGTGGTTTCCAGCAAGAACTGGGCCGTCCTGAGCCAGGTGGGGCTCGACAGCAGCTCGGTGGCCCTATACAAGATGACGCGCGTGGTGGCAGCCTCCGAGGCTTCAATGCGAATTGAGGTGCGCACTTGCGCAAGTGCATCGTTCATATCAGGCGCCATAACGGCGACTTGCAAAGCCTGGGTTGGAATGTGCGCCTCCTCGCACGTCCAAAGGCGGGTGCGCCTCATGGTCCCTGGACAACGGGGGAGCGTGTAGCACTGATCTGCCTCGTTGCGTAGAGCGCAATCGGCAGCCTGATTGGCCGCACAATGGCCCGTCGAGCGGGCCGAGGGAGAGCCATCCGCACAGGGGGCAGTGGCTTGAGAGTCCAGAAAGAGTGTGAAGGTGTTGTTGTTCTCAAAAACCTGGTCGACTGGGCCGGCAAACACGGTGCGCGGCTCCACAGAAAGCAAGAGACCGTCTGCCTCGCTATAAGTGGCATTTGTGACTGATACAACCACAAAGGCACCATCGGAGGGTCGCTGCAGCCGACATAGCAGGTCGAGGCCACCTGCGAGCAACGAAGGGACCGCGGGCAAGTAGGCTGCGGCGGGAGAGTTGTCTGCAGGGCCGCGAATGCGTACGCGGCGGACCAACGGCATGGTGTCGGCGTCCAAGGTGAACGAGGCCGGCTCCAGAGTCTCGTTGACATGATAAGACAGATTGAAGAGTGCACACGGGGGCTCTAGACAATTCACGAGCTCGTAGCGGAGCTCTTGTGCCACGGAACTGAAGCGTGCGCCATCATTGCTGACGGTCACATTGAGGGTCATGGGTCGGGTGATGCCGTCTGGAAGCAGGCATTGCACCAGATTGCCAGAGTCGAAAATGGCCATCGTGGTGAAGGCCACGCGAGCGGCGTGGCTGGCTGTCTCTTCAAAGTGGCAAGTGAGATTGGCAGTGTTGGCAAAGTCCACGCCGGCCACATCGATGAGCATGACACCACTGCCCAGCGTAACAACGATGGGGTCGACGGTTCCATGAACTTCAGGCACTGGATTATTACAAAGGGCCCCATAAAAGCCTAAGACAGCAGCAAGCAAGGCCAGGATGAGGCGCGGCACGAGAGACTCGGCAAACAATTGCTGAAGAAGATGGGAGAAGAGGAAGCGGCGCGATGATACGACATGGGCCGGCGCGGCGTCAATGGTCAACAGGGGTCTCGAAGACTGTCATGGAAGGGGTCAACCACTCTGAACCAACCCGTGAAACAAGAGCAGAGGCCTGATAGGGCGGAGCAGATGCCGTGACCGTGGCACTTGTCTGGGGGACAGTAGAAGGCGCATTGATTGTCGCCCGTTCCCACGTAGTGGTCGTCACAACCACACGTTGCATTCTGTCGATAGCATTGGCCGTGCTCGTTGCAAAAGTCGGCCCGCGTGCATTCATGTTGGCAGAGAGTGCCCACAAAGTTGCTTCCGGGATCACAGTTGCAGACACCGGTGATGCTGTTGCAAGAGCCGCCGTTCTGTCACGTGCAAGAACCCAAGCGGATGGATGAGGCTAGAAGCAAGGCGGCGCAGGTTGTCTGAGCACCGGTCAGGGGGGCTGGGCTTACCTGGCAGGCACAATTCTCGCAGGTGGGACCGTAAAAGTTGCCGATACAGGCACACTCCATATCTCCAGAAGTGGCATTGCAAGCGCAACGACCGTAGTTTTGGCAGGGACCGGCACACGTCTTGGCAACGCACACGCCGTTTGCGTCGGGCTCGTAGCAGGGCTCGCAGGCACATTGTCCCGTGAAGACATTGCATGTTCCATGACCTCCGCAAACCTACTCAGCAAACACCGCGTTTCGCAGCGCGAATGTTGGTCAGTTTCTTCCCAGCGCTCTACCAGAATAGGTTCTGGCTCCAATGTTTGCCCCAGTCACGCTGCTTGGCCCATGCCGGCTGGACAATGACGAAACTTGCCTCGCCATCGCCCGTGGCAGCATCAATGCCGGGACAAGTCTGGTCGCATGTTTCACCCCACCAACCGGCAGCGCATTCACAGATGCCATTGCTGGTGACACGGGCTGTTGTGGGGAGCACGAGCGTGAGCAACGATGACAATGGCGGCCAAGCCAAGCAGGTCACGGCGCGATGAAGACGCTGAATCAGAGAAAGCCACGTACTCGAGGCGAGACTGGCTCGGGACGCGGTGCAGACGCCATCAAGAAAGATGCCACAGGCCACATCGCAGTCTTCATCACTTTGGCCCACGAAGCAAGCTGTGTTGGCACCCTCGGCTTCACAGGGGCAGCCGGCAGTGCTGCAGTTGGCCCCCTTGAAGCCACACTCGCAAAAGCACTGCCCTGTGCCTGCGTCGCAAGTTCCGTGGTTATTGCAAGGAGATGCGGCGCCTCCGGGGCACTGCGATGGGAAAACGACAACAAGCAAACGAAAAGGAACAGTGAGCCTTCTTGTTGCCTTCTTTTTTTTTTTTTTTTCCTCCTCAAATCTTGCCGTCCAGGGAAAGGAGGTGCAACACGTACCTCGTTGCTACAGTCACTGCCCCAGTAACCAGTGTCACAGGTACACGTGGATCGGGCAAAGTTTGGCGTCCCGTGGCCAGAGCACCAGGCTAACACACGCCTACGATTGTGCGAAAACAATGAGGTTGAAGGTCAGAAATGAAGCTGGTCTTCAGAGAAGACTTGAGGTTGGTCGAATCGGATGGCGGCTGGAGAACGCACGTGTTGTCCGCAGACGGCACGGCCTGGTTGGCAGCATCAACGGGATCGAGAACGGCTCCCGGAGGACGAGAACAGGTGGGTGTCGAGCCCGTATTGATGGCAATGGCCCAGTTGGTGGCCTTGCAGTAGCCAGAATCGGTCCAACCAGAGAGGCACTCGCCCAGATCATAGGACCAACCACACCCCTCAACCTAAGATTCACAACAATCAGCAAAACAAATGCGCGGGGGGGATGCGAAAGGGGAGGAGAAAATGGTGGCGTCGACGCGACATCGAAGCGCGTTTCATTGCCCAGAAACAACATGACGAACACAAGCACACAAACATACTTGTCGACAGGAAGTGCAGGAGCTGAAGGTGCTGCAAATGGGGCAGCATTCGTTATTGGAGAGCGCCTCTGTTGCACATCCGTTGACCTGTAGGCAAACAAACGGAAACGGGTGAGCTCTGGGTATGGGCAGGGGTTGTGTGGTTTGACAGACGCCAGAGCTCGGATGACAAGAATTGTGTTGAGAAGTGCCGCCGTCTGATCCCAAGGAATTCCCACCAAATTGTCGTCCATGACACAGGTTGAAGATGAAGCACACCAGCCACAGCCGTCAACGTTGGCGCACTCGCCACATGTCGCCTGAGTAGCACAAGACAAGCCCCGGATTTGAGAAATGATGGCATGTGGAACCCACAAAGAGGAACGAGGGGTGGGAAACAGGACGGCATCAAAGAAAAGGCGGGCATACGTGTTGCGAGCAGTAGTCATTGCAAGAAAAAGCGGAAATTTCGAACCCGCTGTCCAAAACGGTCGTCTGCGGCCAGGAGAGTTTTCAGAAGTCAAGGCAATCAGGCACACTGCGACGGTCGGGCAGATGATCGGAAGGGGTTGGTGTTCCACGGGGCTGCAAGCGCACCGTATCGAATTCAACAAATTCCAGGGTGCTATCAGCGGCCAGAGAGCCAAAGCGGTAGCTGTCAAGCCCAGTGACCCCACTGATTTTCATGTTGAAAGTAAAGTCCTTGTTGGGAAGATTTGAAAGCACCATGCCGTCCGTGCTGGGAGGTATCAGAAAATTGGAAGGCAGTGACGGGCAGGTATGAACTTGCTCCTGCTTTATCTTTGAGAAATGGTTTCAGAGGGGCGGGTGGAAGCGATTGGTGCTTACCAGCAGGTGGCCCAAGCCCATTGCATGAGGCCGGTGGCAGAGACCGGGTCCCATTGATAGCAATCATTGGTAGCCTCGGAGCAATCGCTGGACATGCCAGTATCATCATCACGCACGGATACCGTGCCGCCGGGGCCTCCATTGGCGGTTCCCAGGTCTGGGCTCTCGATGGCGAGGCGCAGGCGTCCGCCATCTGAGCAAAGCAGAGCGTAAGAGGGGTGAGCAAGTGATGATGATTATAAATGGCCACTTGGCAAGCTGGCTAGCTGTGCGCGTTGCTTGATGGTGGCGGCGTCGGGGTTGTTGTGTGCGCGATGGCAGGCGGACCTTCGTTGCCGGGGCGATCGAGATTGACGATGAAGGAGAGCTTGTTGTTGGTGTCAATGATGAAATAAAGGGTTGTCGTCTCATATCGTTCGTAGCCCACATTTGAGGAGGAGCCAAAAGGGTAGTTATAGGCTGGGGCGGGAGCAAGGACAGCAGCGAAGAATGGTGTGAGAAGAGACGGCGATTCAACTCTGCTGCACTGTGATGAATCCCGTGCAAGGAGAGCGGGAAGGCTGTTTTGACCTTGCGTTGGTGAGGAGAAGAGACGTACCATACCAAATACCGCCCGACTCAACGTCGTAGCAGTTTCCGCCTGGACCGGTGCGAGACCATTGCCCCGTTGGAGGGATGGGGTCCCCTAAAAACGGCCAGGGTCGGTGCAGCACAAAAAGTTGAGATGAACACGGCATGGCTACGGCCTGCCAAGAAGAAGGCGACGCAAGCACAGACACACACAGACACGCACGCACGCACGCACACACGCAAGAGTCGTGCATCCGGGGAGCGAGCAGGCACGTACCGACGTCAAACTGGAGGCCACAAATTTCCTCGTTGACCATGGCGTGGCCTGGGGGCATTGAAATGATGGGGCGAACGAGGCGGGTTCGTGCGCCTTCTTCACGGGCAAAGTCCCATCGCACCTACAAAAACGTCACAGCGCCCCGGCATAGCATTCACATGAGCACACAGGGCGCGGGTGCAGAAGCGAGCAGGACAAGGAGGGGCCCACGAACCCGATAACAGAGAGCCTCGCTGGTCTGAGCTGAGGTGGGATGGAGCAGAGCAGCGAGCGCAAAGCCGAGCAGTAACAGCCGACCGGAGAGTCCGAGCCAACAGCTCTGCGGCCGCGTCATGGCGGCCGCTGTCATGCCGAGGCGCGTCAAAGGTCGCCCCTCCAGAACCTAGTCAGCCGGGTCAATGTCGGTGCGCAAAGTGGTGGGACGGGGAGCAATGGCAGTCACGGCCCTCTCTACACAAAAGGAACCAAGGAACCCCGGGCACAGAGATTGAGACGAGCGGTGCCAAGCAGCAGTCCGACGAGAGCGAGCGCGCACAAAACGAGAACGAGAGACGGAACGAGAACGAGAGAGAGACAGAGAGAGACGGAGAAACGCGCACACACGCGCATGCAAACATACGAAACAAACACAGAGACAGAGAGAGGGAGAGAGAACGAGAGAGAGCGCGCGACGGAGAGAGAATCAGAGCGAGAGCGACGGAGAGAGAGAGAGAGGGAGAACCAGAGAGAGAGAGAGAGAACCAGAGAGAAAGAGAGAGAGAACCAGAGAGAGAGCGCGCGCGTGACGGAGAGAGCGCGCGCGTGACGGAGAGAGCGCGACGGAGAGAGAGGCGAGGTGCAGACGCACAGCTCCGACGGGGCGCCAAAAAAACGTTTTGCGTACACACACCTTGAGAATAGAGAGTAAAATGAAGAAGAACAGAGAGAGGGATAACGGCGAGTGAGATGGAGCAGAGATGGGAATGAAAGAGGTGATGGGAGGCAGAGAGATGGATTGGATGAGACTTTGGCAAGTGGTAATTTGAGAGGTCAATCCAGAGATGTTCACAGAAGATAAGTTATAACCAGAGTTTGATTTGGCAAGAGGACGCGTAGCAGAGGTACGAAGCTGTGGCGAGAGGCGCAAAAGTCACAAAACTTTGAGTGGGACACGAGGATGCTGCACAAAGAGGTGGGGGGTGTGCGGGAGAGAAAACCAGAGGATGGTACGAAATGCCAGCTGAAAGTAGAGATTTGTACGGGGTCATGACAACGGATACTCTGCAATAGCAAGCCAGGGCAGAGGTTCAATTACACTGAATCACGTCAGCAGAGATGTGAACGATTTCAGTCGTCCCAATAGAGAAAGCAAGCTTCCACCCCAAGCACTTGATTTCTTCAAACACAACACCAAAGGCGGCGACATTCCCAAATGTTGCGCACAAGGCTGTAATAGACTTTTTGCATCAACATGGCCAATTTATGCAGAAACCAATGTAGACGCCTACGTAGTAAATGAATCATATTGACAGGTTGCTTCATGGTCAAGAACCATCCACTTCTGCGTTTGTAGATGCTGTGGGATACATTCAACTTTATGTAGTTTTCAACACTTACCAAAGGTTATTTTATGCAGAAGAATAACAAGTTGTTGAAGGACAAGGCTATCACTTGTTCGGTCATACTTGAAGGTGGGACAAAACAAGCACGTGCAATCAAGTTCAAGGCCAACTCACTACATGTAAGGCTTTGCTGCCGCTGCCTGCCAAATGTCCCGACCTGCCGGCCGCACCGCACACACAGGGCCGTGAAGGAACACGGAACGCGGTGGGCGTCCATCATCAGGAATGGCCTGGACCGACCCCCAGCCAGCAGGACCGGGTCGCGAATAAAATAAAAGAGCAAAATTGCAAAGGCAAAGACCAATGGCCACGATCTTTTAAAAGCGCCCCTGAATTTGAAGCGCTTATATCAACGATGCGGCACGAGTACGTGGTCGAGGGCGACGTCCATTGTTGCAAGTGTGTGGTGTGCTTGGACGTGCATGGGTGTGCTTCTTGCTTCTCGGTGCCAAGTTGTGGACGCACGCGGTGGCGTCTGTTGTTGTTTTTAAAGGATCCTTTTTGCAGGCCCTCTTTCACGCGAAGCGATTGTGCTTCAGGTTGCACAGACGCTGCTTTGTTGCCCTCTTACTACTTTGATGGCCTCTGGTATTTTGAATGAACTGTGGACTGCACCTAAGCCAATGCGACCAGCTGCCAGCGAACCAAGGTTCATGACGTGAATGGAAGCTGCGCCGGGGGCTGCGGCAGGCCAGCTTGATGGGCAGCAAACACGGGCGTCATTCGAAAACTGAACCCACGATGGCAGGCCACTTCGAGTGGCGTCCGGCCGTCCTGCGTATGCATCGCATCCGACCATGAGGACAAGAACCATAAGGCGCAGAGAGAATCGGGGAGCGGCACTGACGCTGTTCTTGTCCTGGGCGTCGGCCCCATGCTTCAATAGGAGTTCCGCGACCTCGGCATAACCAACTTCAGCGGCCAAGTGCAATGGTGTCTGGCCTTCCTGCGCCATGTTCGGAGCGAACGCGCACCGAATATGAGAACGAAATACACGGCACCAACAAGCAAAAACAAAAAAGCCGGCACGGGCAAGGGGGAGGGATACACAAACCGTATTTTTGGCTGCAACATCAGCGCCGTGGCTCAGCAAAAGGCTTACGAGCCCCACGTGTCCGATATCAGAAGCATTGTGTAGCGGGGTCCACCCATCCTGCAGAGTCACGTGCCATAGCCATCGGCGCGCGTACACACAAACCATCAGAAAAAAAAAATCAGCTCAAGCGTCTCATGAGGGTCGATTTCTTGTTTGTGCGAGGCCATTCTGCACGCTTGAAAGGGGCGACACGCGCTGTGGCAACTCACATCGGGGGTGGCTCGAGCATCAGCGCCAAGCCCCAATAGGATCTTGGCCGCTTCCAGGTGACCGTTGTAGCAGGCACAATGCAGTGGCGTCAAGCCATTCTGTGGATTCATATCCCAGGTCGTCACTGCACCGCGACAAGACTCGAGAGCTCCGGACAGGTGGGTGAGACCAACCTTGCTCTTGGCTTTGGCGTCGGCGCCGCACGTCAACAGGATCCCCACCATCTCCACATGACCATTGTCACAGGCACAATGCATCGATGTCCAGCCGTTCTATGGAATTCGATCCAGTCAGCCGCGCACATCTGCAGCAGGGCGGGGCGGGGCGGGGGCGCTGAGGCGTCAAGGCGCGGGGACAACGGAGATGTGCACCTGACCTTGTTTCTACGTTCAGGATCGGCATCGTGCTTCAGCAAAACCTGCACGGCCTCAACATGCCCGTGCTGGCAGGCCAAATGCAGTGGTGTCCATCCCTCTTTGCTGTACAAAGCAGCACTTGAGATCCGTTCTGGATCCCAGCTGCTCAGCAACTGCAGCGCCACATGTGACTCTGAGGCCAGACAGGCCTTGAACAGCTGCTCTCCATCTGTGCTCATCTTGATCCGACCCGCCGCACCACCTTTGCCCTAACCCAAAGCACCCGTCCAACGCTGCAACGCATTGACAATGAGGCAATGTTGTGAATCAGAGCCAGCGGCACGGACACGGACATGGATACAGTCACAGACACGGACACGGATACAGACACGGACACGGACACGGACACGGACACGGGCACGGGCACTACCTGCGCAACAAGCAACAACCGCTAAAAATCTTTCTCTTTCTCTCTCTCTCTTCTTCTCTTGTTTCCCACACGTGGTAGTTGTGCTTTTCCTTTGTGTCTTTGCTCTTTATTTCTCTCTTTCTCAAACCGACCAAACCAATTCATTCTCTCTCTCTCTTCTCTCTCTTCTCTCAGCGCAAATTATCTGACAACAAAAATACAACTTTTAAAGGTTAAAGGGCGTATTTTCACTTTACACGCCCATCGATCATGAACGGGATCAGGCGGGCCGGGCCGCTGCCGCTGCCACTGCCGCTGCTGCTGCTGCTGCTGCTGCTGTGGGTCGTGGGGCTTGGTTCGGCGTTGGATGCGGATGTGGAGGAGCCGTTTATTGACGTTGACGAGGATGGTACGCTGATCATCAATGGTAGCAACCATATTATTGTCAATGGGGTCGACGTGCTGGAGCGTATCACATCGCTGTCTTCCGCCATCGAGACCCTTCTCGAGTTGCAGATTGAGCTTTATCCGCCGGGGTTTGAAAAGCATGTCATCACCGCGGCCATCGATGGTGCCATTTCCGTGTATGGGGCCGACTTGGATAACGATGGCTACATTGATGTTCTCAGCGCGGGCTTTGGCGACGGCACAATTGCGTGGTATCACAACCACGGCAACGGCACCTTTTCGGCCCCGCTCATCGTGGCTGCCAACCTTACTACCGCACGCTCCGTGTACGCAGCAGACCTGGATCACGATAATTACATTGACATTCTCAGTGCCAGCGAAGGGGATGATACAGTGGCCTGGTACCGCAACTACGGCAATGGCACCTTCTCCAATCAGATTATTATCAACCAGACCTTGGATGGGCCCCGCTCAGTCTACGCAGCAGACCTGGACAACGACGGCAACATGGATGTCCTAAGTGCCAGCGTCAACGACAACACGATTGCTTGGTATCAAAACAACGGCGCTGGCGTCTTTTCTGCCCCAAAACCCATTACCACCGCTGCCAATGGCTCCCTCGCAGTGTACGCGGCCGACCTGGACAACGACGGGCACCTTGATGTCCTCAGCGCCAGCTACTACGACAACAAGATTGCCTGGTATCACAACAATGGCAACGGCACTTTTGCACCCCAAGATGTCATCACATCGGCCATTGACGGAGCGTGGACGGTGTACGCGGCCGACCTCGACAACGACGGCCACACGGACGTCGTCAGCGCCAGCGAACTTGACCACATGATCGCGTGGTACCGCAACAGGGGCAATGGCACCTTCTCAGCCCCAATCACCATTACCACCGCTGCCGAGGGCGCGCAATCCGTGTATGCAGCGGACCTGGACGGTGACGGTGATCTCGACGTTTTAAGCGCCGCCTACACCAACGGCAAGATTACCTGGTATCGTAACAACGGGGATGGCACCTTTGCCGCTCCCAGCGACATTGACACGACTGCCAAATATGCACGGTGCGTCTATGCTGCAGACCTCGACGGCGATGGCGACCTCGACGTCCTCAGCGCCAGCGCCGACGACAACATGATTGCGTGGTACCGCAACGACAGCCCGTTTACCCCCATCCTCAATCAAACCTGAGCCGTACAGCGCCTTGTCTTTGTTTGACATGTCATTCTTACATGTTAGTGGTGTTTTGAGTATCATGGTTATTATTCCCAAGCTTTAACCCCCTTTACATCCCGCGAGCATGCTGTCCATGCCGTTCACCTGGATGCGAGGTGTGAGCGTGCCGTGTCGTCTTGTGTTTTTTGAAAATTTAATAATGAAACTTACCACATGTGTTTCTCTTCTTGCTCCCTCTCTCTCCCCCCTAACAGGGACATGTTGGTGCGCCACTTTGGGCAGGGGCTTTGGGTGTCGAGTCCTTTCAGCCAGTAAATTACCGTTATTTATGAGATCCATGAGCCACCCTTAGGGGTGGACTTCCTTCTTGGTGCGCGTGGTGGGCATGGGTGTTCTGTTGGTTGTTGTTTTTCAGTGGTGTTTGATCCTTTTGCTCCTTGTTATTACATGTGGTAGTTATGCGATTCGTCTTTGCTGTTTATACCTTTCTCTTTCTTAAACCTCTGTCTCTCTTAGACTGTCTCTCTCTCTCTCTTAACATCCATGTAAACTCTCTCTCTCTCTCTCTCTCTCTCTCTCAAACTCTCTCTCTCAAACTCTCTCTCTCTCTCTCTCAAACTCTCCCCTCTCTCTCTCTCTCTCAAACTCTCCCTCTCTCTCTCTCTCAAACTCTCTCTCTCTCTCTCTCTTCAATCTCTCAATCTCTCTCTCTCTCTCTCTCTCTCTCTCTCTCAATCTCTCAATCTCTCTCTCTCTCTCTCTCTCTCTCTCTCTCTCTCTCAAACTCTCTCTCTCTCTCTCAAACTCTCTCTCTCTCTCTCTCTCTCAAACTCTCTCTCAAACTCTCTCTCAAACTCTCTCTCAAACTCTCTCTCAAACTCTCTCTCAAACTCTCTCTCAAACTCTCTCTCAAACTCTCTCTTTCGCGATCATCAACGGCAGCCTTGGCTGGTCTGATTCAACTGCCGTGTCCTTGCCGTTGCCTTGCTGCTAAACGTTGATCATGGGGGGCGTGGGGGGTTTGAGGACTGGCGTTGTTGGGGTGCTGGCATGCTTGGCATGCTTGGCCGCCGGGGTGGCTGGTGAGGGAGACGAGTCTTCGCTCATTTCCGTGGATAACAATGGCACGCTCTTCATCAATGGCACCAACCGCGTCGTCTTTAATGGCGTCGACGTTCTGGAGCGCTTGGAGTCCCTCACGACAACGCTTGAGGCGCTGGTCGGTTTGCAGCATGCGCTCAACCCGCCGCAGTTTGAGGAGCGTACCATTTCCATGGCCGCTCTTTCAGCAGAATCAGTGTACGCGGCAGATCTGGACAATGACGGCAACCTCGATGTCCTCAGCGCCAGCCAACAGCAGAAAAAGATTGCATGGTACCGCAACAACGGCAACGGCACCTTTTCAGACGAAAACATCATTTCCATGCAAGTGGCGGGCGCTCGCTTTGTGTATGCAGCGGACTTGGACAACGACAACTTTGTTGACGTCCTCTGCGCCGGCATATCACAAAACGAAATCTCATGGTATCGCAACGACCACAATGGCACCTTTACCCCGGTACTCTTGACAACAGCGGTCAAGGGTCCAACCTCGGTCTATGTCGCAGATTTGGACAACGACGGCCACGGGGACGTCCTCAGCTCTAGCGCAATGGACAACAAGATTGCATGGTACCGCAATAACGGCAATGGAACCTTTGCAGATCAAGCGGTCATCACCACTGCTTTTATGGCCCCATATTATGTGTTCGCGGCAGATCTGGACAACGACGGATACACTGACGTTCTCAGCTCCAGTGTGGAGGATAACAAAGTGTTATGGTATCGCAACCAGGGCAATGGTACCTTCTCAGACTTCAGGATCATCACCTCGAAGGTCGATTATGCGGTGGCCGTGTACGCCGCCGATCTGGACGAGGATGGCCTTCTTGATGTCATCAGCGCCAGTCGGGACGATGACAAAGTTGCTTGGTACCGCAACAATGGCAACGGCACCTTCTCGGACCAGATCATCATCTCCACAGACACCGACGGCGCGCACTCGGTATACGCGGCCGATCTGGATCAAGACGGGCATCTCGACATACTCAGCGCCAGCATCGAGGACAGCAAAATTGCTTGGTTTCGCAACCACGGCGATGGTATTTTTTCAGACCAGATCATCATCACCACATCGGCTGACTTTGCCTTGTCGGTGTATGCTGCAGACTTGAATAACGACGGCAGCATTGACGTCCTCAGCGCAAGCTTTGATGACCACAAGATCGCATGGTACCCCAACACCAATCCGCTAGCAGATTTCGCTCCTCGCGTTTGATGTCTTCCCCCGCACACTATTGACTCGAGTAGAGTCTGCCCCTGGACCTCTGACTGCAACCGGGCTGCGCTGCCTGTGCCTGAGCTTTCCGTGCCCGTGTCTGCGTCTTGAGCTTGTGGCTGTCCCTGTCTCTTTCCCCGTGCTCCTGCCCCTGGCCCTGCACTCGTCCTGTCCCTTTGTGTGTTGTGTACTTTGCGTCTGGTGCTTTCAACCCGCTCAAATAGTTTTGGTACGTGACTCGATTTTTCCAAACAAGTTGGCCGTTGTCCAGCATGGGGGTCATTGCTTTGCTGTCTTCCACGATGCGTGCACGCGCGCTCATGTCTTTATATGTTGTAACTATGAGCTCTGCCATCTGGCGTGTAAATGTGAATTGACATCACTTGGCAAGGCAGAAATGTTAGCGTCAAAGCCGCTGCGTCGTGGAGCCTGACAAGCGGTTTCCAATTTTTGGCGAGTTTTCCAGTTTTTTTTTTTGCTTTTTTTCTCTTCTTGGCAACTGTTTGATATTTCCTCTCTCTCCTGTAAGCTTGTTCCTGTGGTGTGTCATTGGGACTGCTGGCAGCTCCGCGGGTTACACGAGAGCCATGGAGGTAGTGCCGTCGTCGAGATTGAAGCAGTGCCATCGCGAAAACTACATGGCCAGATGCTCAAAATCTCCCCTATGTGCCGATGAATGATTACACAGCTACCTTCATCTTCTTGAGAGTCGTGGGTTGTCTGTCGTGAGGAGCCTGGGGCAGGTACCCCCGGGGGGGGAAAAAAAAAGCTTTTTTTTTGGGGCGGCGAGAGCCGCTCCAAAAAGAAGCTTAAATCAATGAAAATCAGGAGAAAATCAGGATAAAACAAACAAAAGAATCATAGTTCGTGCAGATTTCTGCCTCGATCGTTACAAATTGGAATTGCTTTGATGAAGTTGAGAAATGGCGGCAGATGCGGCAGAGGCAACAGAGGCAGCAGAGGCAGCAGAGGCAGCAGAGGCAGCAGAGAGGTGTCGAGCCAGGGATTTGAAACCAATGAGACAGGTTCAGACGCGCGAGTCACGGAAGGTTGTGCTCGGCTCGAAGGAGGGGACAATGTTCCTCTGTTCCAGTGTTGAATCGAATGGGCGGCCAAGCTACGCTACTCTAAGATCTACGCTTCCAAGCACATCATCCCGCATCCTGCGAGCTTGTCATAAAGTCAATCCATTTCCCCCCACTCTGCACCTCGTTCAGCTCATCCCTCAGCGGCGAGATACCCCGCAACAGCAGCATTCATGCTGTCCATCTCGGCAACCATGGCAGAGATGCTGGCATCCGCCCTCGCCCGCCCGTCTCTCTCAAATCCCTAAGCAGCCATTTGCACAGTGTTTCAAACAGCAGTTTTCTCCAACGTAAGAAGATTGTAAGAGAAAACGTTGAAGAACGGTTACCAACGGTGTCACCGTTTCAAAAGGGCGTCACACACGTCAAGGAATAAATCCTATACTTGTCTGTTACATTGACCACACTTGCAGTACCTGTGTTAATACAAAATACCGCTAAAATACTATACACATGCAGTAGTATCGTCACACGTATAGTGCACTTGAACTATACTCATACACACTACAACGTTACTACATGTATCTCTGTCCCTGTCTGACTAAATCGACGTCTAGTTCTCTCTCTCACTTTCTGACGTTATCCAGCTCTCTCTCTATTTTGGCTTGCTGTTTATTTGTGCACGTCTCTCTGCCTGACCTCTCTCTCTGACTGTTTCTCTGAATCTCTCTCTCTCTCTCTCTCTGACTGTTTCTCTCTCGCTCTGTCTCTCTCTCTGTCATTTGGCAGCGCCACTGGATAGCGGTGCCGTTGTTACTACTGTTATTCCCCGCGCTCGCCGTGGCTTTGACAACTGCGTCAACGAGCGGCGGACGGGGGAAGGGGGAGGGGGTTTGTGGCTTGCACTTTGTGTCTTGGTGCTGCTGCTGAGAGTGGCCAACAATCAAAGAGTTGCAAGTGGCAACGCCGCCAACATGGCTGCTGGTGCAGGCGTTTCCGGCCGTGAGGGGAGCGTGCCTTTGGGTAATGCTACCAACGTCAACTGGGACTCGACGCCGCGCAAGTTGATGCAGAGCAAGTTCGAGGAGGAAGTGGCCTCGGAAGTCACCTCCCCGCAGACGCCCGTCGGGTTGACGACACCGACGACGACTACTCCCATCGTGCGGCGCACGCCCGGTACCACTCCCAGTTCGAGTAGCCGAAAACGGCGTGCCAACTCCGCGGTCAAGAAAGAGCGGCTGCGCGCCATCTGCCCAGAGTGTAAATCCAGTCTCGTGGACGCTCGCGCGCTGCGACGCCATCAACGCAAGCAGCACGGTGCGCCAAAGGTACGTCACGCGCAATGGGAGGGTTGGACGTTCAGATCGGCAAGCGTGACAAGCCCCCCCCCCCCCCCTCTCTCTCCAGGCCTCGCCGTGGCTTTTCGTTTTTTGTGCTTCCACATCAAACATCGCTTCGAGCGCTGACCTTTGCATCAAACTTGTTTTGCATGATTCTTCCATTTTTTTTTTTTTTTTGTTTTTTTCCTGTTCAACCTTGTAGGGCAAGACGAGTTTTGTGCGGTGCCAAAAGCTGAGCAACGGTGTCGAGTCACAGTTTGATCCTGGCGCCTGCGACTGTACCTTTCGCTCTCGTGAGCAGTGGGCCGAGCATGCTCGAGAGGTGCATGGGTTTCATGTCAAGCTTCAAAAGCTTCATTTCAAAACGCGGCCCGAGTTTGAGCATTGGCGTGAGCAGCTCCGGCTCCATGAACACTATGCCTTTTTTCGCCGCCCCAACGACCGTTTTGTCTGCAGCCTGCACGGCAATCGCCGGCGCCCCATTCTGAAGAATCCCGATGGCACCGATGCCAAAATTACCTGCTACGCCTTTATCAACCTTGACCAGTTGCCTGACGGGACTTTTGAGGTAGGATGATGCCACAGTCGTTCACCCATGCCCCAAGCGCACGCGGTGGCCGCTTATTTTTTTTCTGCTCTTGCTTTTGGCAGGCTACGTTCTGGAACCAGCATTCCCACACCCCCATGAAAAAGTATGAACCGTTGTCGCGATGGGCGCGCCGCGAGATCTTTCGATTGGCCGCCCTGCGTTGGGCTCCACAGTCGATTCAGTGCGTGATTCAGGCCATGTCCGAGCCAAACACACGCAACTACGCCGTTTCTTTCCGAGACATCAAAGCCCACGGGTTTAACAAGCTGCAGAAAAACTGGACCATGGAAGACCTGGCATCAGATCCTGAACACCCCGAAGAGTGCGAAGAAGATCCCGTCGAGGTGGACGAGCCAACTCCCCAAAATCGTGGCGCAGCGTCTGCTCCGGACCAGGAAGCTTCGGCTTCCCTCGACAGCACGGACGAGGAGCTGACGCCGCTCAAGCTACACGAGTCGGTGACCCAAACGACACAATTCTATCCCGGCCCTACCGCGGGCATCGACTTGGTGCGTGCATGCTTGCTTCCTGGCAGGCGACTCAAAACGAGCGGCCGCCGTCCCTTGATGCACCTTCTTCAATTCACATGCTTGCCTGCTTGCGATGCGCGTGCCCGAACAACCCTCCATGTAGCCCATGGCCCAGCCATCGCCCGCCATGCTGTTCACACTGCCCATGAGGCAAATGTGGGCCTCACACAACATGCTGCCCATCCCGCACTTGCATCGTCTGCCCCTGCCCTTTGTGCACCCCGGCCAACAGATGGCAATGCCGGGAGCGATGCAGCCGGTCAAGGCTGGTCCTGATCCTCTGCCCAAACGGGCCAAGCGAGCGTTGATGGATTCTACCCAATATCAAGTTTCCTCGACCGAGACTCCATAGTTGCACCGCGCCACGTGTGTCGTGGCCCGCAACTACTACCTTCTGCCTGTTCCGTGTTGTCCGAGGGGCTGTTCACTCCTTTGTATCATCGAGTTACGTCCTTATCCTTGTGAATGCGCCTGCATTTTGCACCTCGAGTTGCTTGTCAAGAGCCCACCCCGCTCTTCATCGTCGGTCCTCTGGCCACCTCAATGTGTTAGTCCTTACCAGTGTGTCTTCTCCCTCCTGCCTTTGAGGCCCTTTCGAATTGATCAGTTCTCTGTTCCGTGACAGCAAAACTTCAAAGTGCACAACAGCAACAATTCATGTCGCATGCCGCAGCAAATCAGCAGCCGCCTTCCCGGCGCAGACGACTATTGCTGCCCCCTGCACTTGACCAGACGGTACTATGGGACAAAGAGAAACTTCATGAACGGCATCAAAACATGTGTCACGGGTTTTGATATCCAGTCTCTGGTTGTGGGCTTGAGTATGACTTCACCTCTTAGAGTTGACATTGGCTGCAATCCTATCTCTGACTCATCATGTATTTTCACGTGGATCGCAAGAACCAAACGGAGCATCCCTCTAAAATCAAATCATCGGGACGCAACATCTCTGGTGTTGTGGGTGCTTTAGAACGTTTCTCTCAATGATCTTGCAGCGCCATTTTTTTTTTTTTTTTTTTTTTGGTGTGTTGGGTCGCTTCCGTCGGTCGGTCGGTCGTGAGCGGTGGCGGCGTCGTTGGCTCCTTGACTGCGATACCTGGCATCCAGAGGCGAGGTCCTTGCTTGAATTTGGCAGTCTCGGTTCTGGCTCTTGCCCCAGTGTGGAGGTGGCGCCGGTGCATTTACTACACAGCCACGGTCACGTGGTGTCAAAGCCAGCCGGCCCGGGATGGGCCGCATGTCAGCTGGCACTACCACGAATGATCGAGAGGCCCTCCTCCGCCTCCCGTCACCCCGCCTCTACGTGTCTACGTGTCTCCGTCTCTCCGTGTTTGGGACGGGTTGCGCACACGCATTAGCTTCCTGGTCCCCTTGATGACACCGATATCTGTGACGGCGACCCTACCTGCTCGAAACCCGAATATTGCAACGAAAAAGGAGAACAGCCCCCGCTCATTCGTAGCTCTTTGTCGGTGGTCCCGCCTCCTTCTCCTCCTGCTCATTTTCACAAGCGGCCCGGCATTTGTTCTCCTCGTGCCTGGCCACTCAGCACGATGAGCAGTGGCGGCGGCGGCGGCGGTGGCTCACCACCCAGCAAGCGGTGTGCCCTCAAACCGGTCGCGCAACTCATTGGCACCAGCTCCTCCGCGACCGACGAGTCCTCCGCCAGCGTTCCTATGGCTAGCACGAACCCCGCGCCGTCTGCAGACACGCCGCGCGACTGTCATCCAGGATTGGCCACTCACGAGCTAGCCTCGTCCCAGGAAGCTGCTCGTGTCACCTCCCCTCCCCAGCTACCCAAGCCCGTACCCAAGCCGGGGCCCAAACCGATGCCCAAGACCGTTGCAGCAACGACTGCCAACAGCTCGGCGTCCCGCTCCCAAAGTCTGCTGCGCGCTCACATTCCTCCCCCACTACAGACACAACTCGGTCAGCGTCCTCCGACCCCTGTGGACCGCTCCTCCAATACCAGCAGCTCAGCCAGCAGCTCGGCCCAATCACCCACCCTCAACGGTGACGTACGCGGTGATATTGCCGCCCTCGCCGCCTCCTCGGCCGCCACCACCGCTGCCAACCTGACCACTTCCATCATTAACAACTTTCGGCAAGAGATGCAACAGCTGCTCTTCCGCATGCAGCACCAGCAACAACACCCTCTGCCGCCGCAACAACAGGCCCAGCAGACGTCGCAGCCACAGCAGCAATCACACTCGCAACAACAGCCCCAGCAGCAGCAGCCCCAGCAGCAGCAACAACAGCAACAACAACAACCATCACAACAGCAGTCGCAGCAGCAGCAATCGCAATCGCAGTTGCAGCCACAGCCACAGCCACATTCACAGCCACAGCAGCAGCAACAGCAACAGCTCCCACTCCTGCATTTGCCTCCGCATGCCCAACCTTTTGTGTCCGGCGCTCCCTCTGTCTCACTCGGGCCTACTGCTTCAAGCATCGGGCCCAGTTCATGTGCGCCCACAAACAACATACTTGGCAATCCTTTTATGCCGCACCACAATCACTTTCCCACTGCCAATGCGCAGTCTGACATTGCCGCTCTTTCCCGGCGACACACACTGGCCGGCCAGCCTCAACTCGTGCATCCCGCATTCAACGCCATCGAGGTGGGTTTTTTCTACGCATCATATCGATACAGCGCACTTCGCCTGCCTGCCCTCACGGATGCTCATCTGTCACTCAGGTGAATGTTGGCGGTGAAATCTTTACCACCTCACGAAACACGCTCTGCCGTGTTCCTGGAAGCTTCCTCGCCAAGCTCTTTTCTGGACGTTCCCAGGTCAGTGCGCACACCACCCCCTTGCCCGACTTATGCCGCCGTTCTTGCCTATTTTTATTTATATATTAATGATTATTGTTTTTCTATGTTTTTTTTTTTTTTTCCTTTTAATTTGGCCTCGATTCACGCACACACACACACACGGGGTTGCCGTCTCCTTCACATGGCAGGCAACGCTCGATCATGAAGGTCGCATCTTCATCGATAGATCGCCGACGCAGTTTCGGGCCATTCTTGAGGCCCTCCGTGAACCTGCCGCTATTAGCCTGCTCGACCTCACTTGCCCCGTTACCTGTCGTGAACTTGAATTTTACGGGCTGCTTCAAACCTTTGCGACCCCTCAACTTGGCGGGCCACCGGCCTTGATGGCTTCCCCCCACGCCTCGGCCTCACGCTCCAGCACACCGCTGGCCGCGCCTCCCAGCGCCAGCGTTAGTAAGGCGCTGGGCGATCCCGCCCAGCTGGACTCGACTCACCCGCGGCATACCACCGAGTCAACTTCCGCGGCTGCTGAACCGGGCAGCCCGACCCTGTCGCGACCGCTTGCCCTCGAACAGCAACCGGCTCTCGCAGCCCCACCAGCCAAAACCATCTCCCCCCTGGCCATGGGCGAGGACGAGCCACCGGGCACCCCCAGCCTTCTGGCCGTGGGTGGCTTAAACGAAGGCGTACCGTACAAATATTTGCGTGTGGCTGAACGCTACGACGCGGCCACGGATACGTGGCATCGCATTTCCGACATGTTCTGGGACCGTGCCCTCAGCGGCGTGGCCAGCACTGGCAGCAACCTCTACGTTTTGGGCGGGCGCAACGACAATTTGGACGGCATTGTTGGCAACTTTAACGCACCCTCTGGCCAATGGCAGGAAGCGCGTGACATGACCTTGCCCGATGCTTTGTACGGTGCAGGCTACGCCATTCTATTTCAACAACTGGTCGTTGCCGGGGGTTGTCGCCAGCGCCCGCGGGCCGGTCGGCCCGAGGTGGTGACTGCGACAGTCATGAGCTACCCTCTCGAGGCTGATGGTCGCCTGGGCGCCACTGACACGCCTCAACGCCGACAATGGCTGGCATTGCCCTCCCTGGGCACCCCGCGGGGTCGCCACGGATGTGTGGCTGATCAAGGCCATATTTTCGTCCTGGGCGGCGTCGACGTGCAGGGACATCCCATTGCGTCTGTAGAGCGGTTTTCACCCACACGCAACCAGTGGGAGGTGGCTGCCCCGATGCCGGCGCCTCGAAGAGATTTTGGCTGCGTTGCGTTGGAAGGCTACATCTACGTGGTTGGTGGAGCAGATGGGCCGGTAGGCACGAGTCGCAAACTGACGTCCTGTGTTGCTTCTGTATTTGTGTACGACATGCGTGCCAACACGTGGAGTACGGGGCCTTCCTTGCCCGAGCCTCGACAAGGCTTGGCCTGCGCCGTACTTGAGAACCACCTCTATGCCGTGGGTGGCAGCCGCGACGACGACGTTTTCAGTAGCAAACCCGCCAAGCGCATGCGCCGCGTGGACAAGCTTCGGCTGGGCGCCGACCGCTGGACCTCGGCCGCGCCACTCACTTTTGCCCGCAGCCACTTGGGCATGGGCATGGTCTCTGCCGTCTGGAACCGCGACGCCACCACCCTAACCAAAACCCCTACTCGCGTCAAAAAGCCCAGTCGGCCGCGCCGAACCTCGGCTTTGGCCTCGCACTGATTCCACCGCTTTCTCCCGTCCCGCTCCCTCTCGCCCCCGCTGCATACTGCGTATGTGTATGTGGGTGTCTCTCTGTGTATCCCAGTGCATGGCAATGCAGGTCATGCCCCCAAGAGCGTTTCAAAATCGAATCCAAATCCAAGTGCCCCTCCTTCCACGCAGCGTCCCTAAGAGTAGTCTTGTCGTTACACACACACACTCCCTCTCTCTCCTCTCACTCTCTCACTCACACTCTCACAGTGAAAATCTGACATTCTGACATCACCCCCATTTCTTTGTCAGACGACATTGACCAAATGTCATTCACGTGAGCTGAGGTTTGAACCCTGCGCAAGGTTTTTTCAAGCGGCACTTTTTTCTCCCCATTCTTGGTCCACCAGCACGATGCGGGCTTCGCAGCAGGTGAGCTGAAGACCCGAGCCGACGGCGATATGGCGGTGCCAGCTGCGATGTGGGAACGGGGATGGGGGTGGCATTGGATGTGGGAATGGGCATGGTGCCTCGGATTATCGTGCGCACTGCTTGCTTGGTTGTCGTTGGTGGAGGAAAGGGTTGGCCGTTGGCGCGAGCGACAGCGCCAGGACCCCGCGCCAGCTGCAGCCTCGAGACCTTGCGTGGACCTCTTTTCGCTGTTCGTCAAGCTTCGCCCAGCCGGTCGTTTCCGGTCGAGCTTGGGGGGCAGCTCTTTGATGGCGGTGGAAGACGTTTATTAGGAACGCATCTCGTCGCTGTTTCTGGTTGCTGGCTTTTGGGTGTTGGAGCACGTCCGTCCGTTCGTCTGCCAACCCTTGACTTTACGCAGGACATGCGTTGGTTTATATTTTGGGGGTTCTCGTGTCACAGCTAGTTGTATCATGTCTTAACAGTGTGTCAGTGGGACGGGTGCCCAGTTTGGCTGCGTGTTTATGGTGCAGATGGCTCTTCCACGCGGTGGCAAGTTTCGTTGCAGATGGCTGATGGCTCATTGTCCCCACGTGCATTTTGTGTTTCTCCGCGCGCCGCTCCGCTCCCTCAGCTGTTCCAGTATGAGATCATTGGGCGCAAGCTCCCTAGCGCTCAGGATCCCAAGCCTAAGCTCTACAAGATGACCATCTTTGCTCCCAACGAGGTCGTCGCCAAGAGCCGCTTCTGGTATTTCCTGCCCCAGCTGAAGAAGATGAAGAAGACCACCGGTCAGATCGTCAACATCCAGAAGGTGCGTGTGAATAACCCCATTTGACCTCTATGCAGTTTGAGCCCTCTTTCCTTTTGGATGCCCTGCCTTCCTCGGGGATGGTGTGCGACTTGCTCTGCACTGGTCACAGCCGGCTGATGGACACGTAAAAGAGAGACAAGACAGGGAGGGAGCTTACCAATCCCCGCATAGCTTGTCAGTCGCTATGCCCCAATGCCTGATTGGTTACACGTCTTCTTTCCATCCTCGTGGTATAGATGCACGAGACTCGTGAGGGTGTCGTCCGCAACTACGGCATCTGGCTGCGCTACAACTCGCGCAGCGGCACCCACAACATGTACCGCGAGTACCGTGATGTGTCTCTGGCCAACGCCGTGAGCAAGATGTACCGCGAGATGGCTGGCCGTCACAGCTGCCGCGCTCACTCCATCCAGATCATCCGCACCGATGTTGTGGCTAGCTCTGATATTAAGCGCGAGCACATCAAGCAGTTCCTCAACCCGGACATCAAGTTCCCCCTGCCCCACCGCCGCATCGCGTCGCAGTTCAAGTCGCGCTTCGTTGCCAAGCGCCCCACGACTTTCTTTGGTTAAATTGGGCCTGCTGGCTGAGCCCGGCCTCCGCGCCGCCTTGGACCGTGGCGTTGCGGTTGTGCTCCTGGTTGACTTTACAAATCGAGCCGTGGACTATTCACAGCTTTCTCCGTCTCTACCTCTCTCTCTCTCTTTCTCACTCTTTCTCACTCGCTCATCCAGATTGGTTTGCCATTTTATTTCTTGTTTCTCTTGTGGATATGCCCACCACGTGTTTGATCACTCAAGTCCACGCGACACGTCGAGGGGAGGAACAATATGCGAGCTCCTTTAGTTTTCGTTCCGCGTGTCCATTATGGCTGGTGTTGCTGCACTGTTTGTCCTGGGGCAGAGGAAGGATTTGAAGAAATAAAAGTGGATTTCATTCTTGACCAACGTGTCCCAAAGGACGAGGCGGAAAAAGGGTAGCAGAAGGGGGGAATGAACAGGAGAGCAAACATACAACACAACAGAACCAAAGGCGCAACTTGAGCCGATAAGAGGGGATGGGCAAAAACACAGGAAAGATAACCAAGGGGAAGAAGGCCAGCGACAAAGGCCGTGGCCAATGGGAGAAGGCTGTGAGAAACGCGAGGGACGGCATGGGTATACATCAGAATTAAAAGCCTTGGAAGGTGTCGCCAAACTTGTCGGCGCCGGTTCCATGCCATCGGACCGGCTCTTCGGGGTAGCTGTCAAAGTTGCGGCAATCGCCGGGTCCCGTGACCTTGGGCACGTAGGGTGACTTGGCGGCGTGTGAGTAAAGCTTGTCCCAATCGAGCGAGGCAAAGTAGGGATGGCGCTTGATGTCATCCACGCCGCCGTGCATGTTGCCGAGGCGGCGGGTGAGATCGACCTGGAGCAGGCCATCGATGAAGGAGCGCTCCTCCTCGGTAAAGTCGCGGGGAAACTTGTAGTCGCGCTTGGTGATGCGCTTGAACATTTCCATTTGCGAGCGGGATTCAAAGGGAGAACGACCGCAGCGCATCTCGTAGGTGAGGATGCCGACGGCCCACCAGTCGACGGCGTGGCCGTAACCCTTGTTGACAATGATTTCGGGTGCAAGGTACTCTGGGGTTCCACACATGGTCCATGTCTTGTCATCGACGCGCTTTGCAAAGCCAAAGTCTACCAGGTCACGGAGGCAAGGGTGGCATGAGCGATTGACGGGTTGTTGGTGCGGTGGCAAAAGTCGGGTGGTCGCTTGTGTTCTAGTGGTGGTGGTGCGACGTACCCGTGACGCGAATGTGGCCACGATGGTCGATGAGCATGTTTTCGGGCTTGAGGTCCCGGAAGACAATGTCCAGGTTGTGCAGGTACTCAAAGGCCAGGACTGTTTCCGCGGAGAAGAAGCGGGTTTGTTCCTCGGTGAAGCGGCGCTTGCGCTGCTTCTGAATGTGCGTGAACATTTCACCACCGTTGACAAACTCGAGGACAAAGTAAAGGCACTTGAGGTCTTGAAAGTAGTCGTACAGTTTGACCACAAAGTTGCAGTTTGTGGTGAACAAAATGTTCTTCTCGTTGATGGTATGCTCAACCTAGTCGAACAGGCGGGGGAAGAGGGAGGGGATGAGTTGCGACGAGTCGGATGTGGTGGGATGATTGGGAGTGGGCGGGCGGGCGGCGTCGAGCCAATGTGCAAGGGTGGGGTGTTGCTCGGGCGAGTCGGGGGCCGGACCTGGCGGGTCTTGATGACGCGCTCCTTGTTGATAATCTTGATGGCCTTGTAATCGTCCTTGACGGGGTTGCCCGAGGAATCCTTGTCTTGAGCAAGAAGGACGCGGCCAAAAGAGCCGGTACCAAGGGTGCGAGTCAAAGCATAGCTGTCGAGCGTCTGCACGGTGTGATGGCGTACGAAGCGTGAGCCACAGCGCGGTGATTGCGTGACGCACAGGCCGTTTTCGGGCTCGAAGAATGGTGGTGGCCAAAGGTTGTGGACAGGGAATTTAAAAAAAAAAAAAAAAAAAAAAGGTTGTGAAGGAGACGCACAGCCCGCGGTTGGGTACCAAGAGGGGCCCGGCAGATCAAACCTTGGTGGAGACGTAACCGGCCGCCAATTTGTCGAGGAGCTTCTCAAACTCCTTGCGCTCCGACTTTTTGCGGGGATCTTTGGTTGTCTGTGACGGCATACAAGGCAGATCATGTCATGTGCATGTGCATGCACAGGGGAGAAGAAAAAGCAAACAGAGAGGGGGGTCAGGCATGGAGGGTGTTGAACTCGGGCAAACAATGGAGGATTGCCGATTCATGGCTGGAAGATGGAAATAAAAGCAG